AAAGTTATTTTAACTTCTGGTTTCGTTTGGGGGCATCTTGAAGAACCGGTGTTACCACTCTGCTAGAAGATGCACACTATAGTGTGAGAGGCAAAAGTAAATTAATAGAAGACCTTGTAGACGATGAACTATGTACTGAAAATCTGCCGTGGTCGTGTTTCTTTACCGCAACCAGGAATCTCATAATACAGTTTGAAAATCATCGCTGAACATATTTGAGATTAGTTCTGTATAACGACTAGAGCTATTTCTTTATTGGTTGACAACAAAGGACTACCATCTTGTAGTTATTGTCGACATGGTTGCCCAGTGTGCAGGCAATAATGTGTTCTGTATTTTAAGTATCAACCATACACTGTATTTAAGATGTTTAGCATAGTGACGAAAGTTGTTCTGAAAAGCTGGTGTACCAGAGAAACGCTGAATAAAGACATTTTTATTTATTTATTTATTTATTTAATGAATTGTTGTAGAATACTTGTATTTAGGGCCTACAAGGCATGGCTTGTTACAGTATGACAACCAGTTGACTCATATAGGAGTCATCATCAGGCCAGCTAAGATGTATTCTCGTTCATTTGAGGGTTTGTAAATTTATTATTAACTGCCGACCTTGAAATGAAGCAAGAAGACATATTTATTGGCCTTAAGATGACTCATATGTGAGTTGAAGATGGTCACCATACTGAAAAACACTGGTCGCTTTAAACATGCATTCTACACCAATTTTTTAGTATTTAAATGAAATCGGAAGGCGAAAATAAAATACAGTATAATGAAGTATATTTCTGTTTTCTGCATTTATGATAATTTATTTTTTTTATTGGTTACTATAGATTTTTTGTTTAAAGATAACTTATTTTTACATACACCTCCTTAATTTTTTTATTTTTTTTATACTACGTATTTTTGTAACATTTACTTAGTTAGAACTTATATTTTACTTTTTTTATTTAGCTTCTATTTACCCTCCAAAAACTCATAGTGTAACATATTGTATGTTTTTAAATAAAAAGATCAAAAAAATATAAATAATTTTCAATTTAATCGCATGCAAGTATGAACAATCACAAGAAGGTGATTCAATCAACATGTTAACGTATATCTTTAACCTATAGTAAACCAAAATGTTAATCTTCTTGACAGGCTGCTCTCACTCAAACGTTAAAGCTCGATAAAACTTGGTTTGGATTTCACCATAGAGTTCATCAGTCACTGAAACCATCACTAGTTAATAACCGGCAGGTCTGTTAACCAACTAGATCCTTTATTCTATGGTGCAATAGCCTCTCCAATGAATAACCACAGTTAAATATACAGCAGCAACTTAGTGAATAACTAAGATTCGTCAAGATTCATCAACAAGATTCGTCATGAGTAAAAAGTAAATTTTCATAAAGTTACAGCTTGATAGTTAATGCAATCCGAAGTAAAGCTTGTCTAATGTGATTCCACAATGATGATTACTTAGCATCAGTAACTGATGATATCTAACTAGCAAAACACATGATGAAATTGAGAGTAATATATTTTAATTTTGATTAAATTAAAACTTGTGAATCATTCATCAGTATAAATTTGTTTCTCTTTGTGTAAAGCTTAGTAACCGAGTACGAGTATAAAGTTCGATGAGTTTTAATGATATGTGAAACATGAAATAAAAAAATAAAAAAAAACTCTTTGACATGTATGACTATAATTATACGTTTATTACACATCTGTGGAACGCGTTGATGTTTTGTCCCAATCTAGACTGGCAGTTGAGTAACAAATTAACCCAATTCGACTCTCACAGAGTTTTTGATGGTCAATTGTGGTAAGTTTGGTGTTTACTGCTTGCTTTATGTATGTGTAATGTGGGGTGTGCATAAGTGATTTTTATGTACATATGTCCAAGTGTATTGTGATACTAAAAAGTTAAAAACAAACAATCAACCAGACAAATATTCAGATATATTTTAACAATAGTCCTTCGTACGGGGTTGGCGAAAAAGTATACATATTGCAGTTATACTTGTGCTTCGCATTTGCAATGGTAAAGGGCACGGTTCGGTTTTTAGAAAATTTGGTTATTTAAATTTGGGTATGCTATCATATAACAAATCTACCATAACCATAATAATTTTCTACCACTGCAACAATAGAAAAAATTAAATAAACAAATATTCAAACAATATCACAAATTATTTATAAATTTAACCATTACTGTAAACAACCCTACTTTGACAGTTCCCATTTTATATCACAGGTTTTCGTTGCTGCATGGTTAAAATTAGCTGTTGTCATAAATACAAGAAAAATAACAGTGTTGCACCCTGTTGGTAAACATAGTACCAACCTGTGTATTTGAAACATCTGTCCAAATTCATTAATTCCTTTTAAATATGAATACTGATAAGGTTAACATGGAAATCTTCAGAGCCCCTTGGGCGGAGCCCGAAAGCACACCGAAAGGATCTATGAGATAAGAGTATATGTCTATATGTTAATCGGGAACGTAAGCTATCATTATGACAAATTTCAGCTCAATCTGATCATTAGTTATTGCGTGATTAATTTTCAAACAAACAAACACACAAATTTTACATTTATAATATTAGTAAGATAAGATTATTGTTAAGTATGGTTTAATTGTTAGAAATTTTTTTTTTCACACAAATTGCGACGTTACTGTGTAATGTTGAATTAAGATGACTAGTTGATTGGCCCTATTACTTGCAAATCTAGTACCTATGTACTTTCATATTATGTAGTAGAAGTCATTTCAATCAATGCACTTAAAAAACTATAATTCGTGTCATTTCTGTTTATTTGAACTCTATCTCAATGACAAGTAAACAAATATTAGCTAACAAGGAACAAGTGACTTACTAAAAGATTTTTTTCAAATGTAATTTTCTATGTTAATATTACACTCAATTATAGTATCTGTTGAACAATTACAATAAATTTATCATCTTATAGCGATATACTCCCTAGATCGAACAAATATTTATTTAGTAATTAGTGGCTAGACATTATTTATAAATTTACTACAATAAGTCTGGGCCATACAAACTCACTGTTTACCTGATGGTAATCAATAGCTGCAAGGAACAAAAACGTCTTAGTAACCGAACGAAAACTTAGGTCAATACACTTATTATTACTGCATTCAATTACCTAGCTGTCTGTTTTGGATCTCTTATCGAAACATTATCAAATATTTACCTTCAAGTCTGTTGCATTTTCCTTATTTGTTTCGTTCTTATCGGTCTTCGCAGTACTTTTTATAACATTCTGTTGGGTGATAGTCATGGGTTTTCCCTATGGTGTTATATTAATGTTATGTTCCCAGTTCGCAGTATGTGTACGGTAAGTTAATTTATAGTTAATAATCTAGTTCATGTGTTAAAACATAGCTAAGTTCCTAGACCCCAGAACTTTGTATGTGGAACTTTAAAGCAATATCTTTTAAAGTTAATTGTTCATGACAGATGTATTGTAGGTAGTTAATAAACCAACTTAAATCTATAAACTTCATTTAATTACCAACTGTATAAAATCAATGAACAGATATACACCTTTGACAATAGAAACATCAATCACAAACGGTATTTTTTTCAATAGGCCTTTGACAATAAGTGGAATAAAAAAAAACAACGTTCAATTTGATATTACTTGTAAACACAATTGTTAGGCCTTGTATTAGATCACCCATTTCATCGGTTTTGACATAATAAGTGCCCTTTGACAAGTGAGGCCTTTGACATAATAAGTGGAAGTAAAAATAAAAACATTGAATTTGGTATTACTCGTAAACTAAATTGCTAGGCCTTGTATTAGATCACCCATTTTATCTTATTTTTTTGACCTACACCGCATCCCGGTCGAGGTCAAGCTTCTTGGCGCGGAGAACACCCTGGATGTAAAGGGACACACAGGTCCAATTGTCCTCACCCTCCATCATCATCGGTATGACCGTGTCCACCAACAGCAGACCTACGAACTGTTGAGCCTGTAGGCGGGGCCTTTCCCAATGCTGGCAGTGGAAGAAAGTGTGTTCCACGTAATCGGGAATGCCTGGGCAGTACTTTCCAAAATAATGAATTAAAATAAATACAACATGATAAATATTATAACATTTCTAAAATTTGAAACTATTGAAACATATAAATAAATTACTTTAAAACTATTTAAATAATGTTCAATGACAAATACCACCTTTGGAAAGTATGATGTGACAATAAGTTTAGCCGCCTAAAATTTACACAAGTTAACATCACATAGAGGAATTTACCGTTTACTGAAATGAAAATTTTGACAAGGTTGGCCGTAATTTCCCCAATAAGTCAAACATATTGTCTCTAACTTAACCTACATACAGTTAATAAAAAAACATGAAATTTTATGATACACTACAAAATAATATATTGACTAATCACAGTTAGTTAACTGCATACTTTATACCCGTAGGATTTATATCAGACACTTTAAAAAGGACGATGTAAACCCATAACTCGCAGCTACAGTGAGTGATTTACATTATCAAAGCAGAAAATACTTTAATCTTATTTAGAGTCTAGACATACAGTGAAAAAGATGGTGTAGAACTCGTTAAAACACAAATTTCTAACTCCTAGGTTTTTTTAATTAAAAACGGTTCGGAGAAATTAATTTGTGACACTTGAGGTAAATATGCTGGGTGAAGGATGCTAGTAGAAAACGAAGGAAGATGTATTATTCATAAGATGGAGATAGTACCTGGTTTGTCGAGGTGATTAGTACAATACACCTATAGAATGCCTTCCAGGAGCCTTCCATCCACTGCGAGTTAGGTTAGGCCTGGGTCGGGATGCATGGTGTGTTATCCGCTGTCTAAATGCCCTAGGCACATGTTGGTCTAGCGAGGGAGCCCTGGGTTAGTGTCAAATGACTTTTTATTCTCTCGTTTGTAGACTATATGGCATCTTGAAAAACGTCCAAACATTTATTCTTTTTGATAATTAATAAAACACGTCATGCCAGTTAAGAACAGAAAGCAGAGCAGCTCCCACAGCGAAATCGACAAAGAGTTAGTAAATGGACTCTCCCACTGCTTGGACAAAAAAAGTCTGAGTACCATTCTTCTCCACAGCACGTAAAAATGAGTCATATTTTTTTACTTATATTTTTACCTGAGCCGGCTGAAACGGCTCGGTGTAAAATTAGTGATACATCAATTGTGCCTTAGTGTGTAAGTCACCAGTTAGGAGTGTTAAATGAATGTTATAATACGAAATTATATTTCACGAAAATAAATAGTAAGTTAAATTAAATAGGATCCTAACTTGTTGAGGTAAAATCAGAGGTATTAAACTAAAAATACCATTCTAGAAAAACATAAAATGCACAACATTAAAAAGTTAAGCTATAAAATATGCAAAGAGGTGTATCTGATTATAAAAGAACGATTCTTTACGTATGTGAAATATAATAAATACCCCGTTATGGCTTGTGAAATACTATAATTTTACTTAATTTTTACATTAAGGTTTAAAGACAATTTATTGGCTACAAATAATTCTGGTATTACATTAAATCAACATTCCATATATTTTCTTAATAACAACTTAATGTTGCTTAAGCAATCTTTGTTTTAACCTTTATGTTATACGTTTTGCCTCTCCAGGTCTAACGTGTGTACGACGTACAACCCGCTGTTCCTGGAAGGCACGTGTTCCTCCCACTACTCAGACACCGCGGCTCTGCTTATAGACGAGGTGTTCTTATCCCTGGCTGAGGCGGACTGCGAGCTGGCCAACCCCTGCAACTACCCTCCTCAGTACAACCCTAGGGACTGGGAGGAGTTCGACTTCATCATCGTAGGTGCAGGATCTGCCGGCTCCGTGGTAGCCAATAGACTGACAGAGATCGCCGGGTGGACGGTCCTCCTGATTGAAGCTGGAGGAGATCCTCCCAAGACATCTGAAGTGCCCAATTTACGCGGAGCATTACACAATACGGAATATCAATGGCATTATCGATCTAACTCTGAAGAACCAACCTGTTTAGGATTTACTGGTAGTCAATGCAGCTGTGAAATGGGTAAAATGCTGGGTGGATCCAGTTCACACAACGGACTGATATATATAAGGGGAAACCGTAAGGACTATGATGGTTGGGAGGCTCAAGGAAATGTTGGTTGGAGTTATAAAGACGTGTTGCCCTATTTTAAAAAGTCTGAGGATATGAGAGCTCCAGGAGTAAAGTGCACCCCTGATTTCTTTGACTACCATTCAGTTGGTGGCCCTTTAAAGGTTGACGACCTTAACATTGACAATACAGAACCAATACCAGCACTTTTGGTAGGAGGTTTATCTGAACTTGGATACTTCATAAACCCTGATCATAACGGTAGATATCAGTCAGGGTTCTGTAGAGTATCAGGTACTGTGGAGGAGGGTAGGCGATGTAGCACAGTGAAAGCTTTTTTAACCCCAATAAAAGATAGACCAAACTTGAAAGTATCTAAGTTTGCGCAAGCAACCAAAATATTAATCGATGAAAACATGAATGTGGCATATGGCGTTGAGTTGATTGACAGTAATGGCTACTTAGTTAGAGTAATAGCCAAGAAGGAAGTTATTCTGTCTAGTGGAGCTATAAGAAGCCCACAGCTACTAATGCTTTCAGGGATAGGTCCAAGTGATCATTTATGGGAGCATGGAATTAATGTTATACACGATCTACCTGTAGGTAAACGATTGGAAGATCATCCTATTCCAGCTGGCTTAATTATATCACTAGACGTTACTTTACCAGAAGTTGATCAAAACCAAAGCATGTTTAACTTCTTATTAAAATTTAACAGTACTTATGCCGGAATAGGGATGGGTTCATTCATATTGTTTATGGAAAGTGAAAGAAAAGGTTTAGACTACCCAGATATTCAAGTTTATTTTGCGCACATAAATAAGAACTCATCTGGATTATTACAGTATACAAGGATCCTCGGGCTTAATGACGACATCACTGAGAGTTTCAGATCTATTAATGAGCACTCGCCCCTGCTGTTGGTAGCACCATGTCTCATCGGGCCAGAAAGTAGAGGTTCTGTCCGTCTTCAAAGTAAAAACCCATTACAGTTTCCAAAGATAAATCTAGGTTATTACTCGGACCCAAGGGACGTTGATACTGTAAGCAAAGCCATTAATTTCCTTCGTGGTTTGGTGTTCACAGAACCGTTCAAAGCAGTAAATGCCAGGTTTCATGAAGTATATGTTCGAAGTTGTTCAAAATTCCCTTATGATTCACGTCCATACAGGGAATGTTTTCTTAGACACATGTCAAGTTCCTCTTATCATTTTGTGGGCACGTGCCGCATGGGACCCCCGGGACACCCCGAGGCCGTGGTAGACCCTCAACTCCGGGTACAGGGTGTGAGTAGACTGAGAGTCATCGACGCCTCTGTGATGCCGAAGATTACACGAGGCAACACTAACGCCCCAACCATCATGATAGCAGAGAAAGGTTCGGACCTCATCAAACACACGTGGCTCAGCACTCCTTACAGTGGTGCGGAGGGATTCAGCAGAGTTCTGCCTATACCACATAGAGGCTGGTAATACTAATCTACAAGGCAAATAAAAGTAATGTAGCACTGTCGTAGTTAATGTATTCATGACCTTACATTTTAAACTAATTTCATATTTTTCAGTAATTTATTTTTTTTATTTTGTGGTTTTATTGAAATATTTATTTTAATCATACTTGCCAAAATATATGATTGATGAAATTATAGCATTAATAAACCCCCATACATGTCACAGAACACCTTCCAGTAGAAGAATACTTTATATACTCAAGGTGAAGGAACAGCTATCGGAAATCTAAAATTATGTTTTTTTCCGAATATTTTTACGAGTCATATTCAAACAACAATTTAAGAAGTAATGTTAAATTTACTACAAATCTTGTTAATAACGACGATGTATTTACAATTTTTAGCTAAAAAGAAAATCTTATTGACTTTGTCCAAAAATGTAACAGTTTTCCATCAATAAAATTTATATTTTAAGTAAAAATGATAATGAGGGAGAGACTCGAGTTTTATATCCAACCCACGCATGTTTAATATACAAGATCACCCTTCAGAACAAAAAAGATCGGATTTCAACTCAATGATATAACACCTCTAAAATACCACACAGTCACTAGATATAAAAAGGAACTAAAATCCATAAACAACGTCGCTAGGTATTACGTGTATGAGACCAGGATCATTGAAATATGTTGACAAAAGCTATAAATAGAAACACCAAAGAGAAAAGAACCAAAGTAGAAACGAAAAAAAAACAAAAAAAAAACAGATAAGCACTATTTATACCACACAATATAAATATATATAGAACACGTTTTAGAAAAATGCTGAACTGATGTGTTCTTTTAAAGAAATAAATAAATACGAATATTCTTGGAAATCCTAAAAATAAATCAGAAAACACAACAAAATCTGCCATTTTATCAAATTCAGTGTGACAGTTGTGAGATTAATAAAGTCGGACAGCAATAGCAAAATATTGTTTAGAAACAGACCACATAATATCAATAATTGATACTAAATTACTAATAATATTGACCGGGCTCAATTAACTGTAATCATTACTTACAAATAAAATTGACCATTTAGTAAATAAATGATCCAATCAAAATGTAACATTAATAAATTCTAAATTTATGAAATTATAAGTTAAACCTACTTTAGAATTTATTTTATAAATATATCATTTTATATTTGTATTTTACCTAAATGCATACTAAAAAAAATTTTTTTCATATTAAACCACCCACATTTTAAAAATTTCTTACTTTAAACATAAACATAACCTTGAGTTTAGTTATGTTTGTGATAATGACAGCATAGCTGGTGAAATTCCTCATAAAATAAAAAATGCATTATAAATTTGGTGAAGTTTTTATTTTAAATTTGAACAATTATACAGTTCAGCATTGTGTATACAAAAGTGTAGGTTTTATAAATTTCGTGTTAAATTCACTCTATAGACTGTATTTTTTCGTTTGAATACGATTGTTGCATGTAATACGTATTACCATAGATAAATTATTATATAGATAAGTAAGATAAGATGGATAAATTATTATAATTAGATATTATATAAATTATTATATTATATTATATAGTATTACTTACTCTCCGAATAAGTGAAAACAGCTCTCGAACGGTTCACATATTATACAAATAAATCGTGTTGTGTTCTATTTTAACATAAATGGAGTCCTTACTATCTTGTTTGGCAAACCATCTTATCACATTGCCAACCTTGATAGTCGATTCCCCGTTTGCAAAAGTGTAGGCACCTTTTGTATGACTCACCGTTTCTTGATAACTACACTATACCAATTGCAAGAGTTCCCCTTCTAAATAATAAGAGCTATTGCTTATTATGCACATAAAAGTGTGTTGAATAATATTTAAGTTCTTTTTTAGATTTTCCTAGCAGCTAATCGACTTTTCCCTACCAATCCTACATTCATATCCTAGTACTGTATGCTCCAGCCCAGAACATGATTACACATTACTTGTTGCTTGCCCTAGGAGGTCACTACAACAACGAACACTTAAAGCTTGACATTATAGCACAGAAGCCATTCTTTTCTGCCGGGGTTTGACCCTTTCTTTATCTTGGAAACTCTCGCTCCCCATATCATTGAAAAATTGAAGAGAGGATGTTCTCTGAAAAGCCAGTTCTGTCTTAAAGTTTTGAGATGTACTTTAGTGTATGCTAATTTGAAATGCCAGGTTTATGAGTCAAAGTCAATCATACTGAACATAATATTTAAAATTACTGAGTATGTAGTACAATACGTTTACGAAAGCTTAATGAGGTATATTTTATTGTTGCGATCCAATCTACAGTTTATATGTTTAAGTTGTTTTATACACAGAAAATTGCAAATATTTGCTAAAAGATAATTTGCAATATAATCATTTACATGAAGGCTAGCGTTTATTAAAACTAACTACAGGCATTTAAGCTGTTATAACAATTAATTTTATCATCTTTGTACCAACAGACGGACGCAATTTTTATGTAATTGTGTGAAGAAGTTACTGTAAAACAAGGTTATTTTTTGCACTTTGTTTAACAATTGATCACATGTAAGGCAGTACACACAATGCATTTTACTAAAACGTGTAAAGAAAGTCACAGGTTGTAATACATATGATTATGTATATTCTCAATCATAAATCATTATAGAGCTTTAAATCTTGCACACTTCTTTAGTATTATGAGCTAGACAAAATGTAAATGTGGTAAACACAGTTTAATCGTTGGTTCACACATGTTACATGTCACGCATCGTCCATGTTTCACCCCCAACAGATGGTTTTCAGCCTACGTGAATATCCAACATAGCCTTCCTGTTATATACGGATAAGTTAAAAATTAAATGCCCAAAAATCTTAAAAAAACACATCGTTAATCAAAATGTTTAACTTAAATTTGATTCGGTAAACCAATGTGCTATTTTAAATGTTCAAAGTGTGTGCTATGTATTGTTGTTTAAAATATACCTGTTTGGTAAACTCTTTAGAACAACAATATAACGGCATGTTAGCTGGGGTGACGTCTTAGCCAATATTAGCTGACAGCTTTGAGCCTTGCCCTACGCAAACATTTCCTCAAGGCAAGGGGAGGGGTGCAGATTAGGTTAATGGTACTTGTACCCCCGTGGTTCAACGTTGGTTGATATTCAGCTATACTTAGGGCTAGTAAGTATGTTTTCTTACAGTCACCCGACAAAGTGGGCTTCCTTACACTGATTTTAGTACAGGAAGCTGCTAATTGCTGCATTTACTTACTTTGCCACATACTTTTTACTTTGTCGCACAGTTTTTACTTTGTCGCACACCAGTATTAATTTCAACCAAACAACGCTAAACCGTGTGCTTTTATTATAATCCGTGTAGTCTACACTTGGAAATTGGTTGGCAACACTTAAAGATAGTTCCACTACTATCAGCTGCAGTGTTTCCCGTTTCGTTTAACGCTTGGATTTAACCTAACCTAAAACGTGTTGTTTAGTGTTTAAAATTCTAGTTATATCTATGCTAAATAGCTGTAGGAAATATATAATGTGTAACACGAGTGCATATTTCCTTTGCTGCACTTGAGAGACTTTCCATACTCGCCTGCGACTAAGTGCGAAATCATTTCTCTCCTGTACAGCAAGTTCTCCTTCGCCAACTAGTTACACAAACTATTTATTCTTATTTGTAATTGTATGTGGTTGCGGCATATATTTTTATGATTTTGTGCATAGAAAAATACACCAGTTATAGATTTGTACACTCAAATATATATATTTGGTGACTATGTAAATGGAAAATTTAAGGTCACAAAGTGAGATCCCAGATCAATATGAAGCCAAAAGTACCCATGAACTTTTGAGAAAACTACAAGTCACATCCCCATAAACAATATACTTAAAATGTTCGTCATGACGAGAAACATTGCGAAAAACTATCCGTTATTTCATAAATTGCCCTATAAGGTCGTAATTACTTTCCAAAGGTAACTTTACATTTTCTAAATGTTAAAAATACCTCAGCTGTTATTATTTGTTTGTGTTACCATTACTTTATTCTATTTTGTTCATTTCAGCTTAACTTAATCAATCAATAGTTTTATTAATACTTATGTAGTAAAACGGGGTGGAGGCCGTGGGTAACAGCTAGTTTAAAATAATGACTTAAAAGTTGCAGGGAATTAATGCAATAATTGAACCTATTTTTTCAAACACGTACAAAATACAATCCTAACCTCTCGTGACCAAGGCAAAATATGATAAATAATATGATATGATCATAAAATAATATATTATATAATGTAATGTAATATTGTAATAATATGTTAATGCTGCATAATAAATGCGGGTCGTATATCTGTGGTGTCCTGTTTTCTTCATAAAAACAATAAAATGATAAATATATTGATTATATTATCAACTATGATAGTAATTTCGTCAGGTAATAAAAATAACAACATTAGAAAGCACTAACAATTACAACAAACAATTAGCTTCAAATAGGATTGCGTATTCACGTAACAAGACCTTGATATATTCGTGGGTGTACGTCTGTAATAATTTTCTTTTATTGCTAGAACCGCCATATTAGTTTTTTAGTTGAAAGTTATGATTCAATTACAGTGATAAAGGTCTGGTGTTTAAACACACAAAGGTATTTATAGTCATTTGCAGCATTATTTTACAACATTGTGTGAAAATGTAACAATCTCATCCCAACATTACTTTGTTTCGTCTTTTAATATTGTTATCGTGTGTGAACTTTTCTGTAATAAGTTAACTAATTTTAGGGATTTTTAAAAGTGATATAATATTATGTAAAAAGCATTATTTTATTTTTTATCCAAGGCTTGAAACTTGATTAACACATTTTCCCAATCATAACCCTAGAACCATGTGGACAAATTGTATTTGTATTAAAGGTTCTAGTATCTCCATGAAACTTTGGATGTTTCCGAATATTTAACATGTAAATAAACATTTTCTCTTGCTATTCAACATGATTACTAGGAAT